ATTCAATTACTCCAAAACGTTGTGAAAACACTGCTTTCATTCCAATATCGCTAGCATCGACGGCCACAGTGAAGATTTCAGCAGGATTTGGTATTTTCAGAAATCTTCTCTCAGAAGCCGTAATTGTTTTTAGCTTTTTGAAGACCGTCTCCAACTCTGGCTTCCACTCAAGCTTCCTATCTCTTCTCAGCAACTGAAACAAAGGGGCAGCCTTTTCAGCAAAAAGCGGTACAAATTTTGCATCGTATCCTAATAATCCCAAAAACGACCGCAATTAGCGTTTGGACTTCGGAAGAGAAAAATTTCGAATTGTTTCAGCCTTCTCGGGCAACGGTTTAATTTTCTCTCCGCCGACGATGTGACCCAAGCAGGTGATTGTGTCCCGAGCGATTTGGCATTTCTTTGCACTGAGTTTCAACCCTGCATTTTCGATTCTCTCTAGCACCGCTTCCAGGTGACGAACGTGTTCCTCTGGCGTCTTCGAGAACACTACAATATCGTCACCGTACACTACAACACCGTCCAAGTTTTCCAACAGACGTCTGAACGTGGCTGGTGCATTGCACAGTCCGAACGGCATCCGAACAAATTCATATTTCTGCCCGTTGACAAAAAATGCAGTTTTCTCCCTCTCGCTGGCTGCTACTGGTAGTTGCCAATACCCAGATCGCAAGTCAATTAGTGACAGTACTCGTGCAGAGTGGAGCTGTTCAAATATCTCATCCGTTAGTGGCATCGGAAAGGCGTCCTTTATAGTTACAAGATTCAGTTCTCGAAAGTCGACACAAAATCTGTAGGTACCGTCAGATTTTCTAGTGAGCAGCACCGGTGACGAGTACGGGCTGGTACTTTTACGGATGATACCTTTTGACAGCATATCGCGTACCTGTTTCTCTACCTCCGGCAGTATCTTGTGGGGTATCCTTCGGTACACTGGTTTACACAGGCCCTTGGCATTAGTTCTATTTTGTGCTCCAACCAATCACAAAAACCATACTCATCGTCCGCAGTACGTAACAATTAAGAATACTTTTCAACGCATTGCTTAACGCATGGAATTGGACACTCCAGACCGGTTGATTTCCTCACAACGCTGACGAGAGAATATGTTTGTTTTCCTGAGCGTAATTCCTGTGCTTCTGATCCCACGAGTAATTTACCTCCTACGAAATCGATGTTCGCACCCACACGCCTGAGTAGATGGACACCGATTATAACCTTGCTAACACCTTCAATCAAGACCATCTCATGGGTAACGGTCACCCCACCAATTCTCACACTGACACATTGTTTACCCAGGACTCCGAGTGACATACCCCCAACCACACGTACGCTCACATTGCACGGCTTCACCGGAACCCCTTCTACCCGAGGCATAATGGAAATCCCGGCACCCGTATCTATAACAGCCAACTTTGACCGTCCCAAAATGAAAACCTCAAGCCTTGGGACCCCCCGGGCGGTTGGATTAGAAACAGAAAAACACGGACGAATGTGCTGGTTTGGGCAAAAACGGGCAAGGTGTCCTACACCGTAGCATCTGAAACATCGCTTTGGCCGAACTTGAGCCCTGGAACGTCTCCTTCCCTGTAATCCGCCTTTCAATTCCTCCTTCAGTCTTCCGATTTCTTTAAATATTTGTTCTATCTTATTTTCAGTTTCAGCAGCATCCACCCGAGCAACCAAATCATCATTTTGGCAGGCTTGCACAATGGAAATTAGGCCCTCCGCATCATTCACTCCGCACGCCAACGCAAGTCTCAGTTTGTCTTTCACCTGTGCCGGCATGCTTTGTATGAACCGGTCTTTGGCAAGCCTCTCCCGTGTTTCGTTATTCGCCTCTGGCAGGCCCAGGGAAATTTGTCGCTTGATGTATTGGTAGTGTGCCAACGGGTCTTCAGTTCGGTTGTACTCCGCAGCGTAAAACCGGTTCATCGCCTTCTCGCGGTCACCCTCCTTTGAAAATTCTGCCACCAATGCAGATTTTAAATTCTCATAATTTAGGGCTCGGTTGCTTTCCAAATTCAAGTCGTAAGCGGCCCTCGCTCGTCCGGTGAGCAGTGACCCCAACGCGGTGACCATGTACGCACTCCCTTTGATGCCGTTGCACGATGCGATTAATTCAAAATCGCGAATCCATTTCTCCACATCTCCGTCTGCAAACACGTTTGGCCAGGGTAGCTTCATTGCGTTGTGCTGACTTGGGCGACGGCACCACTGTAACGAGAAGGCGAGCTGGCTGGGAAAACGTCTACTGATCCAATTCAAAAACAAACAGTGTCTACGTTCGATTATATACAGTCAATTCTGAACCGCGCGGCGGGATGATTCATGCCTCTTTCTGTGGATCATTCGTTGTTGGTCTTGGTCCGCACTTGGCACGTACGTTGCCTCTTCTTCCGCGTGTCATTCCGACTGGTTTGACCCGATCGCGGCGCGAGATGCGTTGATCGACAGCTCCGACGTTGTGGCATTCGGTGGGTATCTTTCCCGTTAGCTGCGGATTGTCTTTCGGGCTGTAATTGTCGATTCACTCGTTTCGGGTGGCAGTCAACATTGTCTCGCGAGGCACTTCCCGCCACTGCGTCTGTGCGTCTGGTCGGATGGGCCCCATTCTTGCTTCGGTCGCTAGCCAGGACTCTCTTTGAACTGCCTTCCATCACACTCGTCCCTCCTCTAAAATGGTTGCCGCGGGTGTACCACCGCTCCAATTCTTTACCGTTAACCCATCTTCCTTGGGGACCCTGATTGATCCGAAAACTGTCGTTCTTCCTCTCCAGAACGGTGAATGACCCCATCCACCGCTGCTTGAACTTTCCGGCCCCCGGTCCTGTTGTTTCGGGTG